TATATATATATATATATATCACCTCATAACAGATATTGTTGTTGTTAATTGCTATTGAGTTAGTTCTGACTCATAGTGACCCTGTATAGGGTTTCCAAGAAATGACTGATGGGTTTGAACAACTGATCTTTGGTTAGCAGGCCAAAGTTGATCCTAAAGCACCACACCACACATATATGTATACCTATACATGTATGAACCCTGGTATAGTGTTATCGGATATGCACTGGACCTGTAACCACAAAATTGGCAGTTCAAAACTACCAGTCCCTCTCAGAAACCCTATACAGGGTCACTAAAAGTTGGAACCCACTCAATGGCACACAGCATATAAGGGGTCCTAGTGTGGTTGCTGTAAGATAAGCACAGGATTGTGAACTGCAAGGTTGGTTCAAATCCACCATTTACTCCTCAGAAATTCTATACAGGGTAGCTATGAGTTGGAATTGACTTGTCAACACTTAACAACAATAATATATATATATAGTATATACATATGATATTCATATGTATAAATGTATGTATGTATAAACATACAAAATGCATATGTATAATATGCATATAATATACTGTATATACATATAGTATATATACGTGACAAGCTATGGACAAATACATAATATACATATGTATTTATATACTACATATATATGTTGCAGATATATATGTTGAATGTATATATTTAAATGTATGTTGGAGTGATATATACATGGGGGCTTCCAAAACTTCATGGATAATTGGAATGAAAAGATAATGGAATCTTTCCATAAATGTTTTGAAACCCCTTTTATATTCAACTCTCACACAAACACAGCTACCTTAAACTAGCTCTAAACATCTAGAAGAACAAATCATATACCATAAACACACCACATTCATAACACATTGTGCAGTTACTATTAGACTCACTTTTCATAAACCACAATAAAACACAGATTCACTACCACCCAGTTATGGTTGCCAAATAAAATACAGGATGCCAATTAAATTTGAATTTCAGATAAACAACAAATTATTCAACAAATAATTTTTTTATGGTAGTATGTCCCAAAATGCATTGAAGACATTGGCTAAGGACAAGATTTTGGGAATTGATGGAATACAAATTGAAATCTTTCAACAAACTGATGTGGCACTGGAGGTACACCCTCATCTATGTCAAGAAATTTGGAAGACAGCTACTTGGACAACTGATTGGAAGAGATCCCTATTTGTGCCTATTCCAAAGAGAAGTTACCCAATGGAATGCAGAGATCATTGGAAAATTTTAATTTCATATGCAAGTAATATTTTGTTAAAGATAATTCCAAATTGGCTACCACAGTATATTGACAGGGAAATACCAGAGGTTCAAGTCAGATTCAAACAAGGACATGGAATGAGGGATATGATTTCTAATGTTAGATGAATCTTGCCTGAAAGCAGAGACTACCAGAAAGATGTTTATCTATTCATTATTGACTATGTAAAGGCTTTCTATTGTATGGATCAGGACAAGCTATGAACAACATTTCAAAGAATGAATATTCTGGTACAATTAGTTGTGCTTATGAGGAACCTGTATATAGACCATGAGGCAGCTGTCTGAATAGATCACTGAATGGTTTAAATTTAGGAAATGTGTGCTCCAAGCTTGTATTCTGTCACCATACTTACACAATCTGTATACTGAGCACATGATTAGAGAAACTGGATTATTTGAAGAGAAACATGGTATCAATGTTGGAGGAATACTCATTAACAACCTGCGATATGCAGATGACACAACCTTGCTTGCTGAAAGTGAAGAAGACTTAAGATACTTATTAATGAAGATCAAAATTCACAGCCTTCGGTATGGGTTGCATCTCAATGTAAAGAAAAGAAAACTTCACATCACTATATCAGTAAATAACATCCTTATAAATGTAGAAAAGATTGAAGTCGTCAAAGACTTCATTTTACTCGGATCTACAATCAACACTCATGGAAGCAGCAGTCAAGAAATCAAATGATGTATTGCAAATGATATATTGCATCTGCTGCACAAGACCTTTTTAAAGTGCTCAAGAACAAAGATGTCAGTTTAAGGACTAAGGTGTGCCTGACCCAAACCATGGTATTTTGAATAGCCTCATATGCAGGTGAATATTGGACAATGAATAAAGGAGACCATAGAAAAATTGATGCACCTGAGTTTTGGTGTTGGAGGAGAACATTAAAAGTACCATAGACTGACAAAAGAACAAACAAATCTGTGTTGGAAGAAGTACAGCCATAAGTGTTCCTTAGAAGCCAGGATGGCCAGACTTTGTTTCTCATGCTGTGTACATATTGTCAGGAGGGACCAATTCCTGGCGAAGGACATCATGCTTGGTAAAGTGGAGGGTCAGTGGAAAAGAGGAGATCCCTGAGATATATTTGCACAGCAACAGCAGCATGATATCAAGCATAGCAATGATTATGAGGTTGGTACAGGACCAAGAAGTGCTTTGTTCTGTTGTACTGAGTTGGTACTAACTTGACAGTACCTAGCATAGTGGTTACGAATCAGGCTGCAAACCACAAGGTCCGCAGTTCGAAACTACCAGCTGCTCCGTGGGAGAAAGATGAGGCTTTCTGCTCCCATAAAGATTTGCAGCCTCGGAAACCCTGTACAGGGTTTCTATGGGTCAGAATCAGCTTGGCGGAACTTAACAACAACAACAACAACAACAACAACAAAATATTGCATGGGGCATACCTATACCCAGAAAGGTAATTGTTTATTTAAAGTTAAAATTTAACTGTGTCATTCTGTAATTTTATTTGCTAAATATGGCAACCCTATATACTTACCACCAGCTGCCATATCATATACTTGTTACTGTATTTTTGTTTAGTGATTATCTTTCCCTGTTAGAATGGAAGAACTATGAGAATAGGGACTTTGTTTTGTTCAGAGCCTAGAATTAGAGGTATGTCTAAGGTATGGGAAGTATGACATGTGCCCTGAGCACCACTTGAAAGAGGGACACCACTGAGCAATTTCTTTGAACCCAATTTGGACCAAAATACTTTCTAGCTCTAGGTGGGCAGAGGAGGGCAGTTATCCCAAGGCACAAGTCCAAGGGGGTGCCAGACAAGGCACAGAATGACATTCTGAGCCCTATAAACATGAACACATCATTGCGGCAATGGGATAAGAGGGAGGAGACATTCTACTGACTTGTAACTGCTTTCAATTTCTTGTTGTTGTTATGTGCCATCGAGTCGTTTCCGACCCATAGCGACCCTGTATAGGGTTTCCGAGGATGTAAATCTTTATGGGAGTAGAAAGCCTCATCTTTCTCCCGCGGTGCAGCTGGTAGTTTCGAACCGCTGACCTTAAGGTTCGCAGCCCGATTCGTAACCACTACGCTACCAGAGCTCCTTGCTTTCAATTTCTAGTCATTTTGAAATTAGGTGTGTATGTGCAATTTAGAATTTGCCCCAGGCACTCATTACCCTCATACACCACTGCTTAGGATAGTGGAATAGTGCCTAGTATATAGTAGTTGTTCACTGAACATTGGTTGGCTGAATGGATGAATCAAACTGCAACAAATAATCAGGAAAAGTTACATAATTTCTTAATTGTGATCTCAAACCCTTCACAGACACATGCTAAACACATCATATGTACATCATGTTTATCAAAGGTTTGGCTGACACACATCACTCTCACACTTCAGAAATATAGTCACTACACAGTCTTGCATTCCTAACAAGATATTGTTGTTGTTAAGTGCTGTCCAGTCGGTTTTGACCCATAGCGACTCTATATAGGGTTTCCAAGGAGCAGCTGGCGAGCTTATACTGCCGACCTTGTGGTTCAAGCCGACTTTGCAGTCTGATGCATTAACCCACAATGCTACACCAGGACCTCGACAAGGTATTAATAAACTGTAATTAAATACTGGCAATTCCACCAAAAACCAGACTCTAATCCCCAGGTAGGTATGTGAATTCACTGCACAGCCACTGTGACTATTTCTTGGATGGATGAATTATACATAAATAGACCCAACTACTGAATCTCTGTGGCTTTTATACTTCTCACAGGAATCTCAAAATCCCAAGAAGATGCCCCTAAGCCTGGATCCACTGAAGTGACAAAAGACTGGAACCTTGGTGTATGGGAGGTCTCTTCTGCCTCTGAATACTATTCGTGTGTTTCTTCTCCATACAAGCTCATCCATGGTGGTAAAGGCATTAGGCTTCTTGGGTGCTGGGTTCCTGGTTATGATGTAGAAGACACGTAGATCCAAGAGAAGCCCATTGTAAGAGGAATCATAGAGCAAGTAGAGGAAATTAGGACTCTGCTGAGGATAGGTTAGGGGTCATGGATATGAGTTCATTGTGAGACATCAAGAGTCCTGGTGTGAGCATGGTGGGGAGGAGGGGCCAGAAAGCTCTAGGTTTGTTGTGTAGGGCAGATGGACCAGACAATGGTCCTTGGGTGGAATGGCGTGTTCTTTGCCTTTGCCTTCCAGAGAAGGACAGAGTTCCCCAGTACACACCTCTAATAGCACAGCAAAACCAATCAGTTCAGACCCACATCTCAAACAACATCCCCATTACGCACATATCCATTTACAATTCATCCATAAAACCCAAACATATAACTTACAATGCCACCTTCTCCTACACCACAGTCCATGTTCTACAAGTAATACCCCAGTATCATAAACCCAGATCTTTCTCATAGTACATATGAGGTAGCTTCAAAAATTTTATGGACCCAGCCGATCTCCTCCCTCCCTGCCTTCCTCGGATGGCGGCTGTTTATGCTGGACATGTGGCCAGAGACGGGTAAGGACCACGTGGAACCTCGGCAACCTAAGACAGAGCCATTGCCATGCTGCAATGAGTTTCAATGACGGGTAAGACTGAGGAATTCACACTGACCGCCTAAGACAGGCAGCGTCCCTTAAACAAACAATAAATAAAGGGGAATCTGATGCTGACCGTGCAGACCTAGTCAGGAGGTCCAGACCCTGTAGGCCCAAGCATTGTCGACCGTCCAAACCATAGGCTCTGAGGATCAGACTTTAGCCACCTAGTAGACATAGCAAACTGTCCCTCATCTGATTATTCAGTAATGCTTGTTAGTAATCTCAAACATGAG